CCTGTGGCTGTGGGTATGGCTGGCTCATGATGGCTAGTAAGGCAGTAGTAGTTATTCCATTCTCTCTTGACTTAATTGGCAATTTTCTTCTCCGAATATTTTCATACTGCGCCTGAAAAGTCAATCTGGAAAACTTATTTCTGAGAATGCAAATATGACGAATTGAGGGCATTTTAAAGTGCTTTATGGGATAGTGGCGCTTATCATTCATGATATGGGCAGCACTTTCGGAGTTTAGTATCGTCGTCAGCAGTGTCCTTTACTTGTATTTAGGAATTCAGGACGGCTAATTCTCCACTGGTGCTGCTAATACTACTACTACTGATAATAATATTTCCATCCCCTTATTATTGCTACCAATAATAATGCAGCTATTAACGACAAATACTACTAATACTCTTGCTACTTTTACTACTACTACTGCTACTACTACTATCCTTTCTGATAATACTCTGCTATTATTGACACTGTTAATCATATGACTACCGCTACGACTACTAACATTCCTATGACTAAATTTTCTACCACAACTAGACTTACTGCTACTACTACGAGTACCTCTACCACCCCATTAATACGAGTACTTCTACTACTACAGCTGTTAACGGCGATTAGTTCTCCTCCTCTTCCTACTTTTCTACCTCCTGCTTCTACTAGTACTACTTTTACCACTAAGACTACTAATATTCCTATAACTATCACTTCTACGACTACTACTACCACCCCATTAATACAAGTACTAATACGGATATTGACGAAGACTATTAGTAATATTCCTCTTATTGCTACTGATACTACTATTACTTACTACTAGTAGTACTACTACTAATATACTACCGCTACGATTAATAATGTTCCTGTTCCTAATATTACTACTACAACTATATCGATGACAACAAGACCACTACTAACAATACGAAGTAGTCGTATTATTATCGCAGCGTTTACTGTTCTTTATACCTGCAGTACGACTAATGCTACCGTTGCCAACATGATTTCTTCTTAGCGTTGTTACTTTTATAACAACAAGTAATACCGCTATCAGTACTGTTGCCAAAACTACTATTATCACTGCTCACACTACTGTAATTACTGTTAATGTTCCTAATACTGTTCTAAGACCACTACCGCTTTAGAAACACAGAAGTTCAATCGTAAACCTCATTTTTATTCCCCTCCTCGTTCATGCAGTTTCCAGCCGGCTCTGTATGCGCTGAGAAATTAGTCGCCGCTGTCTCGGCTGTTGGTGATTATTCTGATCTGGTTCCCTTCTCCGCCTCCTCTTCCACTTTTCTCCTTGTCTACCTACTGGGCCAAGACCTTGGCTTTCTTCCGCCCATCAGAATCCTAATCTGCACTTGTGAGGCGGCCACACCGATGGCAATTTTGAACTCAAATCTTGTCAATTTTCCCATATCTCTCGACCAGCAGGACACCTGCTGGTCTCGCCTGATGATCTATGGTGTTATTTTCTTTGAGGGTAAGCGGTGACCACTGTCGCGTTCTGCGTTATTTTGCGCCCCTCCTTCTCCATCGCCACCACCACCACTACCACCACCATCTTTATTAATACCTCTATTTCTA